GGATTTAAGTGTCTTAAATAAATAAATAAATAAATAAATAAATAAATAAATAAATAAATAAATAAATAAATAAATAAATAAATAAATAAATAAGATATCATCACCACAGGGAGGGGGGCGATGATAACTTCCTCAATGGCTCAAGGGGGCGTTTCTTTCAAAAAGGTTAAGAACCACTGAACTAGACTATTGGTTCATCTAGCCCAGTACTACTGACATTGACAAGTATTTACTCTCCAGAATTTCAGGTAGGAGTTGCTGGTGATTTAATATGGACTTTTCTGGTTTGTACAGCATGTGCTCAGCTACTGAGCTACAAGCCTTCTCACTAACTTGAGGATGAAAGGGGTGGGGGAATATGTGTTGCTACAACTCATTCATTTTCAGAGTAGGAAAAGAGGGTGTCCTGCTGTGTCTGAATGTACCAAGCCTAACAAGGGTTGGCCCCTGCTCCCTTTTATCCTTTGGCAGACAGCTGAAGACATAGGAGACAGTCTTTTAATAGAGTCAGTGAATGCTGTTCTTTAGCTGAGTAAGTTTGTTTTTGAAGTTTTAAATGGTTTAAATCATTTAATAATTCAATCATTGTTTTTAATGTACAATTTTTAATATATTTTTAACCCTATGAGATGCCTTGAGTCTCCCCATCGGGAGAAAGGTGGCCTATGAATAACACGAATGAATGAATGAATGAATATTAACACTGGGTTGTTTTTTTCTCCATCAAATCTGTTTTTCCCTTCTTAGTGTTTCCATTCAGAAGCTTTCAAGTGAATCCCGCTTCATTGTTTATGAATTCTGGGAGAACAATGCCTGGAATAGGTAACCAAATTATCATGTACATTCCTGATTATTGGCAAAGTTATAAATCAATGCTTCAGGATATCAGGTCATCTAAAGTATAATTTTCAAAAAGAAAAAAATCAGCAGCATCTTGCTCTAGCAGAAAAAAAGAGATAAACTGCCATTTACATACCAGTTTTATACATCAATTGGTTAACAAAAGAGCTGTTTTGCTAGATATAGACATCTGCATCTAGAATATAGATATCGATATACTCTATAGCTTTCTGCAGAATGCCAGTTTTCACCGTAGCTATATTGATCCTTAAGATGTTAGAGGAGTTAAATAAAATAGCTGGAAGCCTGTAAGGAGGAGATGAAAGCATGCTGTCAGTTCTAATAGATCTGAACAAGATAAAGTTACTGATGCATCAAAGCTCTGAAGACACAGCTAATAAAATGTGGGGCTATTTCTGATAGAAAGCAGCTTTTTTGGCAAAATTGACTTATCAGTGGCTGCCAGATAAACACCTGAGGAACACAGGTATCACCATTAGCTTTCAAAAGGGAACATGGTGAAGACATAAAACATAGGGCTTCATATGGAGCCATCATCCTTTTAAACAACACCTCTGAATGAACTATGCCTGGCCATGAGCCCATTTATTTCAGGACATTCAAATGGGGGCTCCCTGAACATCTGAGTGGAGACACAGATTGCTATTGATCATGGGCAGCTCAGTGGTGCATAGACCAGATAGGCGGGGTATAAATCAAATAAATAAATAAATAAATAAATAAAAATTATCCAGCAATCATAACTGTATTGTAACAAAACACTTGAAGACTTGCAAACCAAAAGGGCTTCATAGCCCATTTTAAATGTGAACTATTATAGGAAGGGGGGAAAAATTAAACGTAGTGTCACTTATTTCCACAGACACCTCCAAATGAACTACAGCAAGACATTCCAAAGGAATAATGTGGATTGCCTGGAAACTCCAGAACACATTACAACTATGCTAGTGCCTGGTAACAGCCATATTTTAAAAGTTATTGATGTAGTTGTGTTCTTTTCCCTTCCCCTCTCCCTGCCTATTTTCTATGGTAGGGACAACAGCACAGATGGATAATCCTCTTTACCTTACAACAACAAAGACTGCATTCCTGATCAATCCTATGCACATTTATTTAGAAGCAAGATCCACAATGTTCAGTGGAGCTTACTTCCAGGTAAACATCACTGGGCCTAATTCCATAGTACTGTGGCCCAAACATAATTATTATAGCATTTGTCTTGTTGAACATATCAGATCTTGCTTTTTGAGCACAGGATTTAACTTCTCCATAGCAATGCACTTTATTAGTGCTGAACATATAAATACACTTTTGAACATTCACTTCATTGTGACTGTCTATAAACTTAGCTGATAAACATGATTATTAACTACAATTAGCTTGATGACTTAATATATATTATCTCATTGGTCTTTGCTTAAGGTTTGTGTAATGGGGTGAGATGCTCCTCAGTCACATGCCTGAACACACTCCTGATAGCAAACAGATGCATGCCAGCTACTTGACCATTAGTTGTGGTAGGTTACACCAATTTTATCCAAACATCACAAGGAATATTGACAATATGCCATAAATATTATATTCGGATTGGTTGCCCCCTTTAGGTGTCACATTTTCAGGGTTTCATGAGAGTTAGGGTGTTTTATAATCTTCAAGACAAGAAGTTGTTAATGTGCCACAATCCCCCTTGTGAAAGGAACATATAAGGGAAGTTTTTAGTTTGCTCACCTCACTGTCACTGTGATGAGATGGGCTGGGAAGGCTACTGACACAATCAGTTATAACTCCCATTCTCTCATGCTATATAGAGTTTAGTTGGCTCCATGGTGTACTGGGGAACTGAAGATAAGGAAGGAGGTTAAATAGAATACAAATGGCACAAATTCCACAGTGGGTGAACAAAATCAAACTTCAAGTGAGTGCTCTCAACCAGATCTACAGAAGCAAAGACACAGATACACTGCCTCATCACTTAGCCCTAAAAATGTAGTTTGGCTAAATTTTCTCACATGCTTAGGAGCCATCTTCAATTAGGACTACTGGATGATACACTACAATACTCAAAGACTATTATGATATACAGGACATTTTAAGAATATATTTGCTTGTGTTCCCAGTCTCACCAATTTTGGCACTACTACTGGTCTAGTTTTATTGGAGGTAAACAGAAAACCATCTAGTCCTACTATAAGAAGTCTTTTAAGTACCAAGCAAGTGCATTTTATTAATCATTTTAGGAATGAAGATAGTATAAGGAGGTTCTAAATACAATGGTATCTCGACTTACGAACGTCTCCACTTGTGAACGATTCGAGTGAACGATTCGAATTATGAACGGCTCCATTTGCAAAATGTTGCTTCAACTTACGAATGAAAAAAAAAAAAACCCTTTCCTGCTCTTTTTTTTTTTACCTAAGTTCATCTTAGGTTAAAAGAAGAAAAAAATAAAAAAAAATTCTTCCCCTAGTGGTAGAGAGGAGCCTGAACGGGTTAAATGGTTTTCAATGCATTCCTATGGGAAATCTTGCCTTGACTTACGAACTTTTCAACGTACAAGCACCGTTCCAATACGGATTAAGTTCATTAGTCGACGTACCACTGTAAATGCATCAGGTGAAATCAACATATGCACTCAGCACAAGGTATAAATCTCACACTGGAAAGTACTGCTTTTCTTATGAAGTACTTAATCCTTACTGTTCAGTTATCTTTTGGAGGTGATGGTCAAATCAGCATGAAGGGCACCAAAGTTTAATTATATTTTAATTTTAATTGTAATTTTCAGCACTTATGGGCTAGAAGACAAATAAAAAGATATCAATTAACACATTGCAAAATTCCCCTGGCACTGTAAGTAGCAGTATGCAATCTCAACAATGTAGCCGCCTAGAGTGGTCTGGTAGTCCAGATAGGCGGGGAATGTATAAATAAATAAATAAATAAATAAATAAATAAATAAATAAATAAATAAATAAATAAATAAATAAATAAATAAATGTAGCTAGCACAAACAAAAAAAGTCAGTAAAGTAACAGAACTGTCTGACCATCATTAATACTTTTTTTTCAGCATCCTGGTGGGTCCTGAACAACTAGAAGCTTCATAATTACCTCACAACAAGCTCTACGTTATTCTGACACTGCATCCATGCAATTACCACATCTTTATATGCTTTAACAGATCCTTCATGGGTGCATGTTCTATTTAAATACAGGACCAAGTTTTACAAATTCCCACAATCATTTTCAGGAACAGCATGAACTGGTATTATTGTTACATGATGTGACTTTATTTATGATATATTGTAGTTTACTGTAAGTATTAACTGTTTGTAAGGTGTCTTGAGAATTCCTTTTGTAGATATAAAGCAAGATATACAGTTGTGTTCAAAATTATTCAGCCCCCAATGCTGTAAAGGGGTTTAGGGACTATAGTGTACATTTGGAATTGTATTCAGAATGAAATCCTACAAGGACGTTTTAAAGAACCAAATGCAACTAAAATAACATCAATTGTTTATGTAATACAGTAGTAAATGTTTCTTTTGTGGTTTCTTCATTGCCACAATTATTCAACCCCTTAAAGACTACCACTCTGAAGAAGAGAGGTTCATTCAGGTGTTTTCAAACAGGTATTGAAAACACCTGTGGATGTCACCGAGCACCAATCAAGCATAAAAAGCACCAATTAGGCAGCTTTAAAAGGACTGTGATACTCAGCTCCTTCTAGACATTTACTGGTGTGGTTACAAACATGGTGAAGTCAAGAGAATGGTCCAGGAAGACAAGAGAAGAGGTGATTTGTCTTCACAGGAAGGGCAATGGCTATAAGAAGATTGCAAAGAAGTTAAACATACCAAGAGACACCATAGGAAGCATCATTCACAAATTCAAGGCAAAGGGCACTGTTGAAATGCTACCTGGTCGTGGAAGAAAGAAGATGCTGACTTCGACTGCTGTGCGCTACCTAAAGCGTAGAGTGGTGAAAAGTCCCCGTGTGACTGCTGAGGAACTGAAAAAAGATTTGTCAGATGTGGGTATAGAAGTTTCAGCTCAGACAATAAGGCGCACACTGCGTAATGAAGGTCTCCATGCCAGAACCCCCAGGCGCACCCCCTTGCTGTCTCCCAAGAATAAGAAGAGTCGACTGCAGTATGCCAAAAGTCATGTGGGCAAACCACAAAAGTTGTGGGATAGTGTTCTGTGGACTGATGAAACAAAATTAGAACTGTTTGGGCCCATGGATCAACGCTATGTTTGGAGGAGGAAGAACAAGGCATATGACGAAAAGAACACCTTGCCTACTGTGAAGCATGGCGGAGGGTCAATAATGCTTTGGGGCTGTTTTGCTTCTTCAGGTACAGGGAAGCTTCAGCGTGTACAAGGTACCATGAATTCTCTTCAGTACCAGGAGATATTGGATGAAAATGTGATGCAGTCCGTCACACACCTGAGGCTTGGGAGACGTTGGACCTTTCAACAGGACAATGATCCCAAGCATACCTCCAAGTCCACTACAGCATGGTTGCAGAGGAAAGGCTGGAACATTTTGGAGTGGCCATCGCAATCACCAGACTTAAATCCGATTGAGAACCTCTGGTGGGACTTAAAGAAAGCAGTTGCAGTGCGCAAGCCTAAGAATTTGACTGAACTGGAGGCTTTTGCCCATGAAGAATGGGCAAAGATACCCATAGATCGTTATAACTGTAAAAGGATGTTGTACTAAGTACTAAGATTGAATGTCACTTGGGGGTTGAATAAAAACTAATAATGATGTGAGCACAGAAAAGACATTTGTGGTTATTTCATTATAAACTTAAGGTTATATTTCTCTGACCTACAAGTGCCTCTTTCATGTAAATGTAAGCAAGATGACTGAATGATCAAAATCAATGTCAAAATGGCCAAAACATTCAATTTCAGTGGGGGCTGAATAATTTTGAACACAACTGTAACTACCATAATAATACCAAAAGGCTCATATTGGACATTGCTGCCTTTGCTTACTACATCAAGCCAGTCCAATATGCATATAGAAATGTTATATCCATTTGAAGAAGAAACAGTAGTGCAATCACTGTATTTTCATCTTCATATTAAAAAACCTCTGACATCAAGTTTTATCTTCTGCTGTTCTCTTGTGTGAAATGAACACCTTACTAAAACTGAGGCATCAGCTATGGTACACACAAGACCTCAACAAAACGATACCCGGAAGAACAAATGCTATTCCACCTCAGCATTTTGAACAATAACACAGGGTTTATTTTTCATGTACAAAAACTTAAGAAGAGACGTGTCTACATTTTTTCCAAAGGCTGCAAGAAGCTGTTTTCTAGTCTCTTTACTCTAAATGAGTTATTAGGGTGCACTAAATAGAGCAGCATTATCCAGAATGACCAGAAGACCTATAATGCCAAACAAATGTAGCTGCAAAGGCAAATGTCAGGAAAAAGGAGTATATCAAGGATAATCTGAGATCAACAGGAAAATAGAACTACTTTTGTGTGTGTGTGGTGGGGAACAGTAATCTTCTATGAAATTATTTCCTACAACCTGAAGCCTTCTGGATTGGAAAGTAGAACAATTCACTAACAGCATTCACAGAAAATTTGTTCAAATATACAAAATGTACTGGCAGAGGAGAAGGTCCTGCTCACATGCAGGCTCTCCAATAAACTGTCAACACTGATTTTCAAGGGTTCCAGCTTGCATAAGGACCTACATATGAGCAGAAAATTCTCTTCTGCAGATACATTGATTTCTCTCTATGAAATGTAAGAAGTTTCATCAAATGATGAAGAATTTCAGCTGGATTTGGGCCTTCTACCTTGTAGAAAGACATAAAAATTACAATTAAGGTTTTCATAAGACATCTTGCTCCTTAAGCTTTATTTATCAGCTTCATTTCTTGAAAGCAAGAAGTATATCTTACTGTGAAGTTGCCTCCCAACTAATGGTGACCTTGTGAATGAGCAATCTCTAGAATGCCCTGCTCAGCTCTTGTAAACTCCAGTCTGTGGTTTCCTTTAGTCCATTTTGTATTTGGTCTTCCTCTTTTCCTGCTGCCTTCCACCTTTTCCAACATTATACCACTTTGTTATTATAAGAAGTATATACTACTACATTATCCAGGACTTCTACAAAGATCACAAAATAAAGCAGCGGCACCACTGTTAAAGCAAAAAAGAAAAAGAAAGAAAGAAAGAAAGAAAGAAAGAAAGAAAAAGAAAAAGAAAAAGAAAAGCATGCTGCTTATATACTGCCCCATAGCGCTTCAAGCACTCTCTGGGCAGTTTACAAGTTAATTATGCAGGCTACACATTGCCTCCCCCCAGTGACCTGGGTACTCAGTTTACCGACCTCGGAAGGATAGAAGGCTGAGTCAACCTTGAGCTGGCTACCTGGGATTGAATCCCGGGCCGTGAGCACAGTTTTGGCTGAGGTATAGCAGTTTAACCACTGCGCCATGAAGCTCAGTATTAAATTCTAGTATTGCATGCCAAATTCTTACCAGGTTAAAATTTTACAAAACATAAAGAATTGTAACCATACTTGCTGGTTTTACATCACATAAGTAGTATCGGTTCTATATACAAAGAGCAAATATCCATTTTAAATAACAAAAATTAAAAACTGAGTATATTAATTACCATTCTTTGATTTTAAAAGCCTAATAAAACATTTACTGTTTATTCCTTCATGTAACAGATCATATCTTTCAAAGTTTTAACAAAAAAGTTACATATTAGATGTGCCTTTTCCCTACCATGATTTTATTTCTTTTATTTTCCATTCCTTAACCAGAGAGTGGGAGTTTGATTTGTACTGTCCCTCCTGTGAGAACTACTTTGTGTAGCCTTGTTGCATTTTCCCAGAGCACTCCCAGAAGGGACTAGTAAATCATTCTGAGTACTCCATACCTAGAAAACATTGGAGCAGTAATTTATATTCATGTTAAATCTATACATAACTTTAAATTAATACCACTCAAAATTAACTCCATTTCTTCTTCAGTTACCTTAGTTTTCTTGAAAATGAAATATGTTCTCAGAGAAATAGAAACAGCAGTTTATCTTGTGTATTTTTTCACATTTATATCTTATTAGGTACCTAAGACAATATCATCCAGAAGGAAAATACAAAAGAGAAAACCAGAAACGTGGAGAATTCCACGTATTGTGACCAAATTATTAATAGTTAATACAGCACTAAGAGCTCTGCAGTTCTAAGATTATTATTACTTTCTATCACACAATCCCCCTTCATGGATTGCTGCCTTGTTGTGGCAAAGGGGCTTGAGTAATTCAGAGATGCTATGGGCTATGCCGTGCAGGGACACCCAAGACGGACATGTCATAGTGGAGAGTGCTGACTAAATATGATCCACCTGGAGCAGCAACTGGGAAACCACTCCAGTATCTTTGCCAAGAAAACCCCATGAACAGAAACAAAAGGCTAAAAGACATGATGCTGGAAGATGAGCCCCTCAGGTCGGAAGGGGTCCAACATGTTACTGAGGAAGAGCAGAGGACAAGGACAAGTAGCTCCACAGCTAATGAAGTGGTTGGGCCAAAGCCGAAAGGACACTCAACTGCGGATCTGCGTGGAAATGAAAGCAAAGTCCGATGCTGCAAAGAATAATACTGCATAGGAACCTGGAATGTAAGATCTAGGAACCTTGGTAAGCTGGATGTGGCCAAACAGGAGATGACACGAATAAGCACTGACATCCTGGGCATCAGTGAACTAAAATGGACGAGAATGGGCAAATTCAATTCAGATGATTATCTATCTACTATTGTTGGCATGAATCCCGTAGAAGAAATGGAGTAGCCCTCATAGTCAACAAAAGAGTGGGAAAAGCTGTACTAGGATATACTCTCAAAAATGATAGAATGAATTCAATATGGATCCAAGGCAGACCTTTCAAAATCACAATAATCCAAGTTTATGCACCAACCACAGATGCTGAAGAGGCTGAAACTGACCAATTCTATGAAGACTTACAACACCTTCTAGAACTGACACCAAAGAAAGATGTTATTGTCATTATAGGGGACTGGAATGCTGAAGTAGGGAGTCAAAAGGAACAACAGGAAAGTTTGGCCTTGGAGTTCAAAACGAAGCAGGGCTTTGAACGGAGAACAAGCTGGTAATCACAAACACTCTTTTCCAACAACACAAGAGGCGACTCTACACATGGACATCACCAGATGGGCAATACCAAAATCAGATTGATTATATTCTCTGCAGCCAAAGATAGAGAAGTTCTTTACAGTGATCAAAAACAAGAGCTGGAGCTGATTGTGGCTCTGATCATCAGCTTCTTATAACAACACTCCAGCTTAAACTGAAGAAAGTAGGAAACACAACTGGGCTAGTCAGGAATCACCTAAACCAAATCCCTTATGAATACACAGTGGAAGTGAACAACAGATTTAAGGAACTCGATTTGGTGGTCAGAGTGCCTGAAGAACTATGGATGGAGGCCCGTAACATTGTAGAGAAGGCAAAGCAAAAGTGTGCTGCTTCTATACTGCCCTATAGTGCTTCAAGTACTCCCTGGGCGGTTTATAAATTATGCATGCTATACATTGCCCCCCCCCCCCGTGGGTT